GAAGGGGAAGGGGAAGGGGAGGGGAGGGGAGGGAGAAAGAGAGAGAGCGAGAGACGGACACAGAGATTATCAAACTTAAGGTGGATTCGCAGATTCGGGGCAGGGGATGTCTGCGCATTTCAGACTCTGCCGGGGCGTTGCGATTTGTTGGGTGTTCAAGGTTTTGTTTGGTTGGGCGTTTCGGGCAAACCCCAGAACTGAAGAGCCCCAAAGCCCTCAAAGCTCAAGTCGCAAGAAGGGAGCTTAATGTAGAACTTTAAATAACTGGATCATTATCATAAAAACCCTTCAAAACGTATCGATTCTGGTGAACACCCCGTATCACCTGCTTAAAATCTGCTCCACCCTACTCCGGAGGGCCTGCCAGGGAGCCGTGGCTTCCAGGTCATAAAGCGCATTGTGCTCCAACAGCAGCGAGACCTTCTCCAAACAAACGTTTCTTGAGAAGTTGGGGTCCTTGGAATGGAGGTCCTGTACTTTCCGAGGTCTACGCTAGGACGCTTCTCAGAAACTACCATATAGAGCAGAGGGTTTAGCGCGTGCTTTCCCGATGCAGCACTTAGGACATTCCATTGAATGGAACTTAGAGTTTGCATGAGTTTGCCAGGTTCAGGGACCACTAATGCCCCCCCGCCCCACCGCCCGTAGCCCCATAAACCTCGTTTAGCAGAACCAGGGAACACCAACGAAGCTTGAATCGTCTGGACACATCGAGAAGTCCGGGAGTCCCAACGATAGGTGAAATGCCTGAAAAGCTGGCCTCCGACGGCAGACGGGCTTTTGGGGGCCAAGGGGGGAGTAGCAGTGTAGGGCCGCTTGAACGTCTGGAGTTCAGCCACACACTACGGCTACGGGTCTGGGACTTCTTGCCGTAAAGGTTCGGGTGTTGAAAATGAAAGAAGAAGCCCTGGACATGCTTAAGGTCTCTGGGTAAACACTTCGTTGGGATTTCGAGCATTGCGACCCTTGTCCACAGCAATGGGCTTGGGAGTCAAGGTGGAGTGTCGGCATGGCGATGGAGGGACCTCGCGAGGATGTGGCGGGGCTTCGGTTTCCAATCTCTACAGCGCCTGCCACAGCGCCGTGGCACCTGCCACCTGTCCAAACTGGCTTCCGGCCTCCGGTGCTGAGTCCGAGTACATGGCTGCGGGGACTCGTGTCGTAGAAGACAGGACTCTTTGTCATTTGTGGAAGTATACAGTGGGGGGCATGCTGCTTCACACGATCGGGACTCCTCACATTCAGCCTATGTGTGGAAAGATCAGTTGCAGGTGCTGCTTGAAGGTTTGACGTGGTGTCGAGTCGGTTAGAACTTGGGCAATGGACCATGGTCACTTCGGGGGGTACGGCGGCCGCAGGTGCTGAAATACGGAAACAGCATGAATCAATGAAACTGTCGCAAACGCAGCGCTGCATCGGGTTTCTGGGGTTTCTGCGCTACCTTTCTTGCTTCAACAAATCTGGGGCTTCAGTCTTAGGGGTGTCTCTTTTTTAGCCCAGGTTTAGGCAGCCCCAAGTCTGAAACCCCAAGCAAGCTGGCAACCGACTACCTCAGCATTTGTGCCAAGCGTCCCGTGGGTTTGCACGCTGCGCCAGCATATACCTGGCAACAAAGAGTGCGTACAAACGTAATAAATATATACGTCCATATATGTAGACATATATATATATATATATGGCACCCCCCCCCGGAATCCACGCCTTTAGTCTACGTATGTCTGGTATGTCAGTATAGTCCTGGTCTCTGCGCATGATGCAAAGGACAAACAGACATCCGGAACGAGCGCGCGGCATCAATGCAAAAAGACGAAGCACCAATTTCCTCGAGAGTCCCCAAAAAAACAAAAATACCGACACCCATAGGCCACGAA